CCTTAAACAAACACTAGAGAGAGAACATGCGTCTCAGTATAAACTAATGAACTGTGGTAATCCTACTCATGTGAGCTGTTGATCAGCTCCAGCTCCTACTCATGTGCGCTGTTAACCAGCTCCAGCTCCTACTGATGTGAGCTGTTAACCAGCTCCAGCTCCTACTCATGTGAGCTGTTGATCAGCTCCTTTCATATGAGCTTGAAATGGTGTGCTAGCTCCCGCTCTCGGAACTGATATGGAACTGTCACACCCCTAGACATGACTAATATAGTCTTGCGTAATGGAGTCTCGCGTACGTCATTCGTTTGCGTTCGCGTTAAAAGTGGCATGGCTTATTTACTGATATTAGACAGAAACAGTAACTATAGTAAAATACTTGAGAGTCATCAAGAGAGTCGCTTATACACAAATTATGTATAAGCGTGAAAGATTAGCGATCGCCAAAAGTCGCGTTTCTTTTACGTTAGTCTTTACAGCGAACGCATACGCGATCCTACTGCGACTTTTTAAAGGGACTCGCGTCGCGACATGCTATAAGAAAGTGAACTTGGATCCAGACTCTGATGCTGTTCCGCGCGAGGTCCAATTTGCCATCCCTATCGATCACCAGCATCCTGACTACGAGAACAATTGTACAATCAACAAAAATATCGCAACAGCAAGTTACACATACAGATTTTGACCGATCGTTACTTGTATATCTACAGCAGCAACCTATCCCACTTCCATGGGACACAAAAGATTTAATACTTCATCTGCGATTTAGTATACGATTATTTATTTAAAGAAGATGGTACTATAGAAAATAATATCCTCCTGGGTACTAAACCTGATGTGTTGCCATCAAAGACGTGCACAAAAAAGACTAAAATGTAGATAGTATTCATTAAGATAAGAATGAAAGAAAAGGGCGGAAGCATAAAAATATCATTATAATAAATTATAATGATTGTTTTCTACATACGAACAAAAGTTTTCAGCGAAGATAGATAATATGATAATGATGAGAAAGATAATATGATGAGTTAAAACGTTTTATGTCAATTCGTACAGCATTCGAATAAACTTTCTCGAGTGAATGATGTTATCAATTACTTCAGACAACCGAAGAGATTTTTTTATATGAATCTTTGCCATCATTGCTCGAACTTTTCTATCCGAATCATCCAGTTTTACTTAAAATTTATTTACCGGCGGTTGAAGAAAACTACTTCGTCTACAGCACTGTGGAATTGGACTACTACCGAATAAAAGATAGGGAGAACCATTTTAACCAATTAAAATCATTGTACTATCCCAAATTGATTTCAATATATCTGTCGCAGTAGAAATTAAAATTCTACTAGTTGAAATTAAAATTTCATTTTCTACTAGGAGAAATTAAAATAAGCGGCGATTTTAAGTTGCACTAGTAGAAATTGAAATTTTAATCTCTACTGTAGGAGAATTTTAAATTCTACTAGAAAGTTTAGATAACGGAAGTATTTTAATTTCTACTGTAGTAGAAATTAAAATACACATTTAGACGGATGATGATATGTACAAGCACATGCATTATTTATTAGTAAAGGAGACAACTGCACAGGAAATTGTTGAATATATCAAAGAGTTTACATCTATTTATTTGAACAGTGAGCAGGATGGCATTTTGTACCACATGGTACTTTAGCTGCTTTAGATGGACATTTTTTTGTAGCACAACCACTAGTACAAGCACAAGCTTCTACAACTGGACTAACACCACTACTAACGTAATCTTTACAAGCTTGAATAAATGTTTGTGTTGGTAGTGTTTGAGAATCAATAGCACGTAATTCCGAAAAATTACATTATGTTAAGTCTTTGAGATCATTAACACCATATCTTGAAGATAGAACACATTTTGTTGTACAAAGACGATAGGTATGCATATTATCAGATGATGATTGTATTGAAATGACTTTACATGGTAAAAGTTTCGGTGTTGTGTTAGTTCTATCAACTTCATGAATTTTTAAGCCAGCCAAATCTCCAATTTGGTATTGTCGTAATTTTTGAGCATCATCATATAATCTTTGTCTTTTAGCGATTGTTTTCATATAAGCTTCTTCAGCTTCATCTCGGATCCGTTTATGTCTATCCGGTGTTGAACTATTATTATCACCACTATTACTATTTGTATTGTCAGTTGAAAATAAAGTTGAAGGAAAACATGAAACTAACAAAGAAAAGACGATTTGACTTCAAAGGAATACGTTATACCATCTTACCTTCTTCATGATTCATTGCATTACAACATTTAGCAACTTCATCTGATTCTCTATCGTTCCCTTTATGGCAAATCAAATTTAGTGATAATGGTGAGTGTGATCGTTCAAAATCAGTTGTTGTAGTTGGTGAGATAGTAGTACTAGTTAATTGTATTGCGTCAAATACACTTGGAACAGCTGTGGTCACTTCTTTAGCACGTTGAGTGGGTTGAGAAACAAGATCACTTTCACCACAAGCAACTAGAACCGCCCAGAAAATCTATGGTTTGACGAAAATTTAGAGTAAAACATTTTACCCTCATTCAAAGCATCAATAAATTCTACTGGCAGTTTTTCCTCATCGTCAATACCAGTTTCACTCAATAGCTTCCACATTTCGAAATCAGAACGAGGTTTTTGTCCGAAAACAACCTCATAAGGTGTTTTACTAATGGACTGTGCTTCACTGGCATTAATCGCGTACACAACTGGTGCTAATCCTGAAACCACATGAAAATTATAAACAAATTTTCAATGAAAGTTTTTGCACGCGCCTTTAGACCATTCAATAGAACTTGTTGACTGCATCCATTTTCCTAATGCTGCTTCTAACGTTTGATTTCCGCGTTCCACTAAGCCTTGTGTTTGAGGACTACCATTAATTATAACCAAATCTGACCAAGTATTTTTCAAATCCTGAAAGAATGAGCACGAGTTACTGCAGAAAAGATAGATTTGAACAATGTTCAGTTACTTTGATAACTCGTGCTACGAACTCTTTTCCATTGTCGGACTGTAAGATTCGTGGAGGTCCGAATGTGTAGAATTGCTGAAGTAGCTTTTCTGCTACAGGCTGAGCTTCTTTTGTCTTAAGTGGATAAGCCCATGAAAATTTTGTGAAATGATCCTTTGCATGAAGGATCCATTGTAATTCATCATCAGGCATGCTTCTCATATCAATTAAATCTTTTTTAATTGTCGTGTATAATTGTTCATATGTGATCACCGGATTATTTGATTTACTACCATAAACACAACTTGTAATTCACCAATAGTAACTAATTTAAAATGCTTACGAACTCAGAATTTAACCCTTTACACCCCATAGCGATTCCAGAAGAGCCACTGATAAAAACATCAAAGAAATCGAGTATTGGCCTCTACAATATGCCAATGGTATGGGCAGATCGATCAGGCGCACTACCTTTTGTGCAGGGTAATTTGATAACTACAGTGACCATTGAGGCAGAGAAGGGGATGGAACGACTTCAAAAG